TGACAACTCCAACCAAAAAATAGCCAGGTGTTGTGTTGTGTTATAGTCCCAGCTACTTGGGAGGCTGAGGCAAGAAAATCTCTTAAGCCCAAGAGTTGGAGGTTGCTGTGGGCTGTGACGCCATAGCACTCTACCCAGGGTGACATAGTGAGACTCTGTCACAAAAAAAAAAAAAAACCACAAAAATTTTAATCTTCATTCACTTATAAACATATCTCTTTATGAGAAAGACTCCACTGTGCTCGTGGGACCAAGGGGCCATGTGGCAGGTGCTGCCAGCTCATCCAAGAAACCCAAGTCAGTTGTTTCCCCATAAGCCTGATTCCCACCCTCAGGGTTCGCTCCTCACATCCCCTCTACAGTATCTTTGTTTGTTTGTTTGTTTTTCAAATAGCAACTGGAGATAGGAAGAAAATCTTGAGAGTGGTATCCTGAAAACCAAGCCACGCCAATGTTTATAAAAGGGAGTGATCTACCATGCAGTGCAGCTAAAGCAAAGATTATAGATTGGTCACTGTATTCAGCAAAATGAAGTTTCCCTGGAGAACTTGACAAAAGCTATTTCCATGAAGTGGGAAAAGTGAATGTCTGAGTGGAGTGGGTTTAAGAGAAAATGGGAGGAAGAGAAATTAAGAGACTTTCTGGGGGCGGCGCCTGAGGCTCAAAGGAGTAAAATGCCAAACTGCAAAAAAAAAAAAAAAAAAGAAAAGAAAAAACTTTCTGGAGTTTTACTGCAAACGGAAGGAACATAACAAACATTTCACTGAAATATAGCACTCACACAGAACAACCAGTAAATCTTGTGAATTTCCACAGCTCAGTGAATTTGTACAAGGTGAACACATTTATGTAACCAGCACCCACATTAAGAAACAAAATGTAATCAGTTCCCAAAGGTCCCTCTCATGGCCCTTTGCAGTTACCACCTCCCTGAAATGTAACCAGTATCATAACTTCTTCTCGTTTTTGGTTTGTTTTCAGAGCCAGGGTCTCAGACTTTTACCCAGGCTAGAGTGCCATGACCTCAGCCTAGTTCACAGCAACCTATCTCAGCCTTCTGAGTACCTGGGACTATAGGTGTGCACCACCACACTTAGCGAATTTTTTCTACTTTTAGCAGAAACAGGGTCTCACTTTACTCAGGCTGGTCTCAAACTCCTTACCTAAAGAGATCTCCCCCCACCTTCGCCTCTCAGAATGCTAAGATTACAGATGAAATATATATATGTATATATATATATTTTAGAGACAAAGTCTCACTTTATTGCCCTTGGTAGATTGCCATGGCGTCACAGCTCACAGCAACCTCCAACTCTTGGGCTTAAGCGATTCTCTTGCCTTAGCCTCTCCAGTAGCTGGGACTACAGGTGCCCTGCCACAATGCCTAGCTATTTGGGGAGGGTTGTAGTTGTCATTGTTGTTTGGCGGACTCAGGTTGGATTCAAACCCGACAGCTCTGGTGTATGTGACTGGCACCTTAGCCACTTGAGCTACAGGCGCTGGGCCTAAGTTTTCTTTTAAGGGGGGTCTCACTATGTTGCCCAGACTGGTCTCCAACTCCCAGTCTCAAGTGATCCTCCCACCTCAGCCTCCCAAAGTGCTGGGTTTATAAGTATGAACCACAGAACTCACTTCTATCACCAAGTATTAAAAAGTAGGACCTCTCATTTTTAAAAAGTTTTAAGTCCATGGACTTAGTGTGTCCTCTTTTGTATCTGGTTTCTTATGGTCAACATTGATTGTAGTACTCATCCACAGTGTGGATAGCACTTTTTTCCTTTTCATCATTGTTTGAGAGAACCTCTTTTTATTTACCAATTCTGTTGCTGCTAAGCATGAAGTTTTCCGTTTGAAGCTAAAATTAATCATGCAGCTATGAACATTCATGTATGTGCTTTTTGGTGTGCTTAATAATCATACTGTGGCTTCCCGGCCATCTTTTCCCCTCCCAGAGGCTTCCTGGGGCTACTTCCTTCCCTTCCCACATCTAGCACACACTCAACACCGTTTCCGTGGTTGCCAATGACCTCCTTTCAGCTACTTTCAGTGACTTCCCTCAGTGCACCTCTGAACCAAGATCTTAGTCACTTCCTCTCTTGTGGTTTCTTCCCCAGCCTCACCTTCATGGCCCTGTCGGCTACATCCAGTACTCAGTCCTGGAATCCTCAAATCCATTCTCCTAAAACGCTCTTTGCACACCCTCAATGGACATTATCATCTTCATGCTAATTAACCTCAAATCTCTCTCCTGAGTGTCAACCCCAGATAATCCAGAAGTACAAAACTGAGTTCATCAATTTCCCCAAGAACAGTGCCACCAATTGTCGAAATACTACCATTCACCCAGGTGTTTGTCATTGCCTAGGAATCATTCTAGACCCCTCCCTTCCCCTCAGCCCCCCTACCTCCCTACTATCTTAACTCTCAATTATCAAAATCCAATGAGATCTGTCTCCATCGTGGTTCCCAAGGTCACTCACTCCTTTCTTCCTGTCCCTGAGGTCACAGCCTAGGTTCAAGATCTCCTAGATCAGTGGTTCTCCACCTTCCTAATGCCTCCTAATTCTGTGACACTTTAATACAGTTCCTCATGTTGTGGTGACCCCCAACCATAAAATTATTTTCGTTGCTACTTCATAACTGTAATTTTGCTACTGTTATGAATCGTAATGTAAATATCTGATATGCAGGATGTATTTTCATTGTTACAAAAGAATCTCGACCCACAGGTTGAGAACTGCTGTCCTAGATGGTTGGGATGGTCCCTCATAGTTCCTCAGGCCTCCCCACTCTCTCCCACCAACCCACCAAACAGCAAATCAGATCCTGTTATCTATCACACACCCTCCACACCCTCCACTGTTCACAGGATGCCAAACCCCTTAGCAAACTCTAAGCCCTTCCTGAAGTGGCTCCCTTCCTCCCACTTGGGTCCCTCATAGCCACTCCCACATGCTTATTCTGGAACCAAATGGAGTAAGCTCCCAGAAAGTGCAGTGTTCCTTCTCACCTCCTGGCTACTGAGAACTCCTTTCTCTCTAGAAAGCATTCCATCCCATACCCCCATCCCCAAGCTCCCCTTCTCCAGCAACCCAAACATTCCAGTTTCAACTGCTTTAATCTCTGGGAGTCTTCCTTCCACTCTTCCAGCCTCTCCATCAGTACCTCTCCTCCTAATGCCCACCTGCCCTCCACAAAGGGCAACCATTATCATGGTGATGATTCTATTATTAAAGGATCTTTATGTTTAGCAGACATGAGCTCCCTGAGGGCAGGAATTTTGTCATTTTTTATTTCAAGCACTGTTTTTTCCTAGTAACCACTAAATTAATAGTTGCTGGATTAATGAATGCAATAATTGGGATGTTAAGACAAGTATCTGTTATTGTCCACGATAGAGTGCTGTGGCATCACACCTGACAGCAACTTCCAGCTCTTGGTCTTAGGCGATTCTCTTGCCTCAGCCTACCTAGTAGCTGGGACTACAGGCGCCTGCCACAACACCTGGCTATTTTTTTGTTGCAGTTTGTCCAGGGCCGGGTTTGAATGCGCCGCCCTTGGTATATGGGGCCAGCGCCCTACTCACTGAGCCACAGGCGCTACCCATTAAGACAAGTATTAAACTACACAAAACAGGAGGGGAAGGAAAGTTTTCAGAGATATGACAGGAATTCCACATTCATCCCAAATCTCATTTGATCTGATTTTGGAAGCTAAGCAGGGTTGGAACTGGTTAGTACTTGAATGGGAGAGATGTGACAGAGGAAATACTGTAATTGAAGGGGTGGAGGTGAAGTGGGAGTGGAGATGTACACAGACCATAAATACCATGTGAACTGTAACTGCAGAGGGGCCTAAATAGCCTAGCATTTCTGGAGGATGGGGGATTTCTGGCCTGTGCTGGAGCACTTGTGAGCAGAAAAGATGAATCCCAAGAGGGAAGTGCCTCACAAGTGTTGGGATCAAAGGTTTGGGGCTTCTGCCTGTCAGTCATGGCTCTCCTATCTGTAGGTTGCAACTAATACTTGTACCTATGACTCTCTTATAAAACTATTCAAGGGACCGCCACAGGTGCAGTAGCTATAAAAATACAGTCAACTATAAAATGGAGACATTAATTTTTCTCGCGTATAGTAAAGATTGTATGAGTAACAGATAACCCACTTGGCACAGTGTCTGGCACAAGTCTGTACATACGCAATGTACAAACTTTAGCTATTATATTATTTACTTACGTTGCTCTCTAGGAGCTTCCAGTAGGGTAAGAAAGATTGAAAAAGAAGAAAATGATTCTAAGAGCATAAAGTAAAGGCTAAAATGGAAGTGAGCAAAGAATGCTGAGGCCCACAGCACAAACCATAGGGTAAGGTTCCCGGTCTGTGTGGCCAGCACAGCACACAAGTTCTGTTAACGCTCCAGAGTTGGGCCCAATGATTATAAGTCCAGTCCTGGGGATCATTCAGTTTTCTCCCTTATTATGAAATGAAGGCCTGGGGAAGAAGAAAGAGTTCAGAACTCCTTGGTTAGAGGCCGAACCAAGACTGGATCCGGCCAGACTTCTACAGGCATGGACAGCCTTCTCTAGCCTCCACATTCCCTCGGGGCTTGGGCGCGGGGCCGGTGGCGACAACGCGGATCCCGAAGCGGGTACAAGACTACAAGGCTGCGCGCGGCGGGAACTACGCTTCCCAGCATGCAACGGGTAAAAAAGTCCTTTCAGCCACGGATGGGGGCCCCGCAAGTTCTCCTGGGAGTTTTAATTGACCTCTGAGCCCCTTCTCTTTTCGACCTGCTGCTGTCCCTCTTAGGCCCCGCCCACTTCTGCGAGCGGGTGACCCCGCAAAGTCCCGCGAGCAGCTTCCTTCTCCCTCTCTCATTGGTCCATCCTGGCTGCCATTCCGGTGTAAAGAGGGGAAGTTGCTTACCGATTGGTGGATTCCGTTTGGCGCCAACTAGGAAAGGGGGGCGGGGTAGCGGCGGCATCTAGTGAGCTATTACCGCGAAAGGCCACCTTGCCCGCGACATCCTGGGAAGGAGGTGGAGGTTGGCTGGGTTCTCTGCGACCCAGGGCTAGGCAAAGGGGTGAGAGGAAAAGCGAAGACAGCCTGAGCCTGGTCTGTTGCCTCGCGGCTCTGGCCCTCTCTCCCTCTGGACCTGCTGACTTTGTTTGGATTTAATCTTCAGGTTGCCGGCGCCCGCCCGCCCGCTGGCCTCGCGGGGTGCGAGGAAAGCACCCGTGCTTGTGGCTGTCGCCGGACAGGTCCAGATACCCGCCCATCCGCGCCACTTACCCGCGGCAGCCGCGTCTCTGAACCGCGGGGTCGTGTTTGTGTTTGACCCGTGGGCGCCGACGGCGGGGCGCGCGGCCGAGGCCGGTGCCGGCGGGGAGGGGCGGGCGTGGCGGAGGCGGAGGAAGAGGGAGCGGGAGCCCTTGGAGGCCTGGCGCCGCCATGGAACTGGGCCCGGAGCCCCCGCACCGCCGCCGTCTGCTATTCGCCTGCAGCCCCCCTCCCGCGCCACAGCCCGTCGTGAAGGCTCTGTTTGGTACGCCAGCCGCCGGGGGACTGTCGCCTGTCACCAACCTGACGGTCACCATGGACCAGCTGCAGGGTCTGGGCAGGTGAGGAGGGGTCAGCAAGCGGTGTCTCAGGCCGCTGGCTTCCCAATCGGTCCCTGAATAGATCAGGTCAAGAAACGGATCGGGAGAAGGGCTAGGACTGCCCGTCCGGGTTCTCTCCTCGAAGGAGGCCAGGCTGGGGCCCGCCATGTGCACCCTCCCCACCGGGCGGAATGTTGGGCGGGAGAGGCTGTTCGGACCCTCCTAAGCTGCCCCTCAGCCCCAGCCAGGCCCACCTTTGCCTCTCTTTTCGCATTGTTCTGTACTCTTCTTATCTCAAAAAGGTCTTGGAATTCTACCCCCACAAGAGAAAATCAGGCCCTCCTAAGCGCCCACTTCCACCCTTTGCTGAACTACCTCTCAGGATCTTAGTTTCCTGTAAGCTTTGTTCCTTCTCAATAAAGGCGCATAGCATTTACTTTCCTAGCATTTGTGCAAAATCCTCTCGATCCCTCGCACATTCCTGGTGTCAACCCTCTTCTTTTCTGAGGCCAGATGGTCTTACTCAACTTTCTATACTGGAAATCTTCCTGGACTTACAGCAAAACATGCTTCCTGTGGTGTTTTTGGCGAAACTGCTTTCCCTGCTATCGCGGACATCTCATTTTCTAAGCACGTGTCTTAGGCATTTTCCATCTTCTGAAAAGCAGGATTGGTTGATCCTGTTCATCTTTCATGTCCACTTCTAGCACACTACCTAGAACACATGCTCTCATTTCGGGACAGCTACATTTGTCCTAATCATCATATCCTACAGCGTGGGGCCCTGCCCACCCACTCCTTCCTCTGGTTTGCACAAGTGCCAGTTGGGTGTTCTAGGTGGGAAAGTGGGATCTGTAGTGTGGCCTGGACACAATGGTTCACAGAAGCCAGGCTTCTTGTTAAAATCTTGGCCTATCTGCTATATGTGGCTTTTTAATTATGTCTTAAACATTCATAAAGGATTATTTATTTTGGTTTCAGTGAGTCTGAGCAGCCACTGGAGTTGAGAAACAACAGTAATCTGCAGAGAATGGGTTCCTCCGAGTCCACCGATTCAGGTACTCTTTCAATCTGCATGTATTATGTATCTGCTGCATGGGGAACAATACAAGGACTTGCCTGAACAATTCACAGAAGTCATGGCATTGGGACTGGGTGTGGTGCTTCACACCTATAATTCCAGTACTCTGGGAGGCTGAGGCAGGAGGATTGCATGAGGCCAGTAGTTTGAGACCTGCCTAAGCAAGAGCA